GCTTTTACCGTATTTCCTCATATAAGCGCGCACCCTGAACGTTTCGTTTACACGAATTTAGCTTTATCTCTGGAAATTCTCGGTTCTTGCACATATGCTTATAAGAGACGGTCCTCCGCTGTCTTGTGGTCAAATGGTTCCATTAGTTTGTTTATTAAACTCACCGCTGGAGGAGAACGAAGCTATTGCGCTCTGAACCAACCGGATGTAGAGTCGGTTTCCGGGTCAGATGTTCTTCTTCCGGTCTGTGTTTACCCGCTGAAAGCAGAGAAAGCAGCTAACTAGTCGGTTAAAAACCAGGTGAGTGTGACGGTTTGAGGTCTATCTGATCTCACCCTCTGAGGATACCAGTTAAACCAGTCAGAACAAACAGCGGTGGCTCCAGCGAACCGGAGTCAGTCCGCGTTTAGAGCCTTAGGTGTCCGCAGCGTTGCCTGATCAAAAACACTGCGAATAGATGGGCTGAAGGATGCTGGTTCCGATTAGGTTTTTATTAAATCAGTGGGTTTGTTTTGACGACATGCTGACAGGAAACCGGCTTAATAATATGTAGCTTCATCCACGGTTAAAATAGTCTAAACAATTAGCTTATAGTAGCTTTAGGCCCAGGGCCGAGTTTAGGATCCTATATTTGGGGGGCTTAGCCCCAGGTAAGATACCTCAGCTCATGTGCAACACACCTATCCATAAAATGTTAGTTCAATTTATATGGATGAGGCGCTCCTTTGAAGTTTATTTAGGTGGAAAGATGTCCAGGTGTTACTCCAACTGTTAGTTTGCCCCCCCTCAGTCTCTGCTGCCTGGACCTTCAGGATGAAAGCCGTTTGCTTCATGTTTCTGTTGCCCCTCGCAAGATGGCTTTCAGCATCTCTTGATGTGATGTCATTAATTGTTTTGTAAACGTTCCTCATCTAATCATTGCAGTTTTCGGCAAGCTGCTGAGAAAATGTAGTGAGTTAAAGTCGTAGGGAAGCGGCTGTTCCAATGGTTGCTTTTCCAAATACTTCAGAGTGGTGCACGACTTTACACGAGTTAATAAAGTGAATGTGATTGGTCGATTATTAACAGGGCGGGGTATTTAAATGTCAAATCATTCTGGCTTAAACATGTATATAAATGTGCTCTTTATCAGATGATATTGTCCCAAATGTTCACTTTATTCACTCGTGTAAATTCGTGCACCACTCGGGAGAATTCGGAAATGCGACGGTTGGAACAGCCGCTTCCCTACGACTTAAATGCTTAACTCCGATTTTTTGCGTTGATTCACATTTCCAAATATATGCGACTTGTATGTGATCTCCTGAGAATTCGGAAATGCAACGGTTGGAACAGCCGCTTCGCTACGACTTTAAATATTAAAGATAATACATGTTAAACCAGATTATCATATAATCGCAGATTAATTTAAATGTCAGTTTCAGCCTGAATCCTGGTGTGACTGAAGGTTCTTTAAATGAACCTTTATTCCCGTCAGTCCTGACCAATCAGTGAGCAGCTCACCAGTGACATCTAGTGGCTACAGAAGCCTAAATCATCTAATCTTGAAGGATTTTTCCTGCTGACATAGATTTCAGGAAACATAAATCGTCTTTGATTAGCCTGATTTATTTATTTCAGGTGGAGACCAATCGGTGAGAAGATGCTGAGGAGGAAACCGACCCGTTTGGAGCTGAAAATCGACGACACCGAGGAATTCGAGAGCGTTAAAAAGGAGCTTGAGGTTTTAGCCGATCGCTTTATCCCCACCGACCCGTAATGTTCTGATCCGGACCGCGCCGTCTATACCAACATGTCCGTCTGCTTTCTCTCCAGGCCAGGAAACGACAGCGGGAGGAGGCGGGCTCAGGAGCTGGAGCTTCTGTGATTGGTGTGGATATGATTGGGGGCGGAGCTTCTGCTTCTTCCACGGCCGCCTCCAGAACGGAGCTCATCAATGAGCGGATCGGCTACAAGCCCCACCCCAAGCCGGCCACGCTGCCCACCTTATTTGGAAGTTTACAGTTTTAATAAAGTTTTTGCACAGATTAAACAGGCTGGTTGTTTATTTGTTGGCAAACAGATGGATTTAATTCAATGCAGCGGTTCTAAAACCCTGAAAAAATGAAAAACCAGAGAAGAAGAGCAGCAACGCCTGGGGTGTGATCTCAGACCTGGTCCCCCTGGTTCTGAGGTCCACTCATTAACAGCCAGCTGGGCTTAGTCTGCGGGCGTCAGACTTCCCAGAGGGAGACTCTTCCAGACTACCAGTTGGAGGGAGCAAGAAATCAGTTGCTGCAAGAAAATTAAAAATCAATGTAAAGATTTCAGTGCCCAACTCTCCTCCTTCCAGTTCATGCAGAAGATCTTCACAGCGCCGCTCCTTTTCCACGTTTCAGCCTCAATCCAAACTGGTATTAATCTATTTCCTCCAGACGTTACACACCGTATCCCGTTAGGAAAAGATTGTTGGGAAAATATGGAAAGTAAAATATACACAGCATTTACCACGAAGCTCCAAATCAAGCTGAGGTTCACGCTGATCTTCCTTAAGATGTGTGTTAAATTCGGCTGTGTGGACATTATCAGGAGGGGAACATCAGTCCATAGAAGGTCCCTCAGTTCATGTCAGAGTATAAACTCCATGTAGAAGGTCTGAGGAGGCGTCTGTGGACGTCAGAAGGAAGGATCAGAAACATTTGGGCTGCTTTGAAGGTGCTAATGATCCCACTGGTCCCCATCACAGCTCAACAGAAGAACGGCTGTAAAAACATGTTATAAATGCAGACTTCAAAATGTAGTATAAATTAACCACAACAGCATTTTGTAAAAATGCCTGAAATATAAAAGAATCAATTAATGAATTTTGTAATAATTTCTGCAGCATCATTATTAACGTAATTCCATTCAGCTTTT